TTAAGCGTTTTTCTTATGACTGTAAGTATTAGTTTGTTCTAACATTCCAACAATGCATGTCATTCAGATGACATCGAACTTTTTCATGTACTGTCATTTAATATTATGTAGGGTTATACGTATTACTTTACAGTGTAACATGAGAACATAAGCTTCGCTTTTTTGTAGAATTCTATTGAAAACACTCCTGTGCCTATAGAGTATAATAATAGAGCCTACCTTATGTATAACCTTTGATAGTTATAGTGAATAACAGAAAACTTCTTTTTTATTATAATGAAGACTGTAAAGTGCACGATTGCATATATGACTGTATAATGTAAAAGCTTGAATCATGCAATACTTTCAGCCAGTAATGCAGAAACATTATTCTCTAACATGGACATGATGAAAACTTGTTTTTGAAATAAACTGTGATATCATATACAGTTTTTGTGTGATTGATTTTACTCTGTTACTAACATTCAAAAACCATTTATTAAAGTCGTTCATTAAAGTTTCCTTTTCACTTGGTAAAGCTTGACTCAAAAATTTTCTGTTTCGTTGCAGGGTCTGATCTCAAAATGTCGGGGGCCTGGCATAAAACTGTCAGGGGCCCCCTGGTCGCAACTTTAAACCAAATTTACTTGATTATTTATGAAGTGCCTTTAAATTATTTATAACATGAGTAAATTACGATACATTAGTAAATTTGAGCTTATATATTTATTACGATTTCTGTTAACTCTAATAAACAATTTTTAAACAATTTTTAGACAATTGTTAAAACACAAAAAGAAGTCATTTGAAACATTTAGGGAGCTTTAGGCCCGGGCCTCTAAGGCCTTATGATGAATCAGGCACTCCCTCGTTGTCGTAAGGGTATTTCCTGCTGTTTCCATATCGTAATTTTACAATGGCTCTAGCTAATGGAAAAAGTCTTCAGTATTTTCTAATCATCAAACGCTTTTTAGATCTATTGCAATAAGTACACATACACTTTTAAGTTAATTAGAAAATTTATTGCTCAAATAGCTTAATTTATTTCAGACAATTTTCAATGAGCCCATACTAATTTAGGCTGATAATATATTGCATAACTTATTGATCAATTGGTCTGCTTCCTTATATTCTCGATACGAAAAGCCAGCCTAATAACTTATTACAAAAGTTATACTTCCCCTAAAGACTTATTACAATATGCCCTAGCAAAATCAGCTTGATCGGGTTAATCTTTGTGCATTTTTTTAAAAATTCGCCTAAAGCCTTATAGGTTGATTGTAATAAGCCTGAAAAATCAAGCTCAATTGAAAATACTAGAGATTTTCCTATTATTGCAGAATGATGGCAACCAAAATTTTATAACCGTCGTTGAAGAGCCGACCTAATTTTTGGGTTCACGACTACTTATGTTCAACTCCGTAGCCTTGTAATTTTGAACCAATCCAGAAGACAAGGAAACTCCTGGATCAGTACCCCCAGAGGTTTGATTTGTTATGGGAACATGGAGGACTTGGAGCCTCGACAGATTTAACCCGCATCAGTCACTATTTACTAAACGGGGAGCCTTCGGTCTTCGGGGATCGAACCCACGACCTCTTGGACATGAGCCCCACCAAACAAACTATCCCATAGAATAATATGAGAACATCAGCTTCGCTTTTTTGAGGAATTCCATTGAAAACAATCCTGTGCCTATAGAATATAATAATAGAGCCAACCTTATGTATAGCCTTTGATAGTTAAAAGAATAGGATTTTTTAATTAATCCACTTATCGATAATGTAATTGTTTCAGTCGAGTTTTTATCTATACATTATTCATAGCGCATGCGTTAACAAAAACTCTTAATCAATTTCTAAAGTTGTTTTCGGATATTGCTAGACTGAATTTTTGTGTCAAATTTTGATAACTCTGTTGAGAAGATAATGGGAGACACTTAAAAAATAATAAACGAATCTGAGATGTGATTAGGTGTAAGAACAGAAAGGAATAGACAAGATATTTAAAAGGACGGGATCGAAATTAAAACATCAAGATATTATTAAGCGAACATAAAAGGTAGCACACATAGGTGGATCCAAACTCCGGTGTAACATACAGATTTGTTCAAGCTGCTGGACACTTGAAAGTACCTAAATTTCCGTAAGCGTGAATTTATTAATTGATTTAAAAAATAGAGATATCCAAACAACAAGGGGCAAATATCAGCAATTATTGAAGACGAAAACGATTACTGAAGTTTACTTGATCCAGTTCAGCCTCCCAGTTGTGACATTTTAGTCCAAAATATACTCCTCTAAGATCTAAGTAACTCTGGGTGATCATATTTAAAAGTTTACATAACACTAGATCTAAAAAATATCACGTTCGCTTATAGGATAATTAGAGCGAAGATTTGAATTCGGCCACCCGTCTTCTCCAAGTGTGGAGGACAGGCATTTTGCTAGCAGCCATCCTCCCCAAACGATCTTGCTTTATGTTCTTTTTCAGTACAAGTTTTATTCCATTTTCAGAGAGTACTCACATTCTTCATTAGAATCTAGATATTTAAAATTTAGAATAAGGGCTCAAAAGCGTAAAGTTGTGGTTTTAAAATTTTATATTCTTTTATTTTTTCTCCCTCTCTCATGCCAATTATATTCTATGGCTGCGAAGCAACGGGCTTCTTTCAGAAGAAAAAATTCTAATTAAACCATAGCGTGTTACCTTGTAAAACACATTCATGATTATAGACTGAGAAGTTCTTAAGTCAATCGACGCATTCCATATTTATTTTCACTAATTGAAATTCAAACTGTGGTTTCGTTTTTTGAAGCGTTTTTAGATAATAATTTATTAATTTTTATACTTTTACTTTATAACAATTAAAAAAATTTTGAATTGCAATTCATACAATGTAATTTTAAATGAAAAATAAGAAATTTGAGTGAATAGTATCGGGCAAGGAATTTTCTTTTCTTAACTCGCATTTTAAAATATTTTTATTTCTCAATAACTTTTTAAATTTTTTTTTATTATTAACTATATCTTATTTCCTTGTAAAATGTAAGTTATTTTATCCCAAAATTAAATATTTTAGGATTTTACAATATTTATTTAGTATTTTTTTTTTTTTTTTTGGATTACAAAAATATAGTGCTTATGTGCTTTTAACTCATGCTTATGTAACTTCTGCTTACGTAAAAACTCATGCATAAACATAACTCATGATTATGTAAAAATAAACTCATTCTAACTTTCCCCTCTTAATGTTATTTTTTATTTTTAGAGCATTAATTAATTGCATGAACGGCAAAATTTTTGTAGCAATAATTAATTAAAACTTATTTGCCTAAAAGTATTTTCATAAAAAAAATACTTTATAATTATAGGTTATTACTTTACTTATTGTTTTTCGGAACATTTATGAATTGAAAAAAAAATATTTACTATCATTGGAGTTGAACATCTATTGGAAAAGAGAGCCCTGAAAAAATGTTTCAAATGTCCTGATCTGACTCAGACGCACCGCACTGATTTGCCGCACCATATGTGCGTTAGTGCACAATAATTTTGAAATTAATTTACTAAAAAGTATTTCCACGTAGTTTAAATTAGGATTTTTAACAATAATTTTTTTAAATTTTTTTTTCATCCGTCTTAATTTTTTTAATTCTTTTTTAAAATGTTTAGTAATTACTTATGTTTTCATAATTATTTATTTTTCCTTTGATATTATTTTACTTAATAATAAGCAACAAAAATTTTTGAATTACGTATATATTTAATGAGAAAATCGAAAATGTGAAAAAAATTGATCGAATGGTTCGCAAAACTCATAAACTCATTGCAATTTTTAATATATATATATATATATATATTTTAAGTGATAGTCGTGAAGTTTTTAAATATGCTATGAAGATTGGGAAATAAAACAGGGACCCTGTTTAAATATTATTCCAATAGTATTAAAAACTCTTCTTCCTAGTATTAAAAAATCTTCGAGCCTAAGACTGTATTATTATAATAAAAATATAACTATATTTTAAAAGAAATAAAAATTATTGCTGTACAAGTTTGGAGGTTGGTGCACAGACTTAGCAGAGGTCAGAGCTTCTTTGCTCATCAAAATATTTTCTTAGTCAGTTTATTTTATCGATTTTTGCAAATCAGCGATATAATTTAAAATATTTTGACTCATTCCTAATCTTAAATATTACATGACCTTGATATAATTGTAGTTAATTTAGTGGATCATAACTAATTTTATGCTTATTAATNAAAAAAAAAATGTATTTTAGGCTTCAGAGGGCTCCAGCTCCGAATAAAACTTTAAAAAAAGAAGGAAAAAGTTGGATCTGGGGGCCCTTGCCATCTCGGGGCCGCAAGCTACAGCTTATTTAGCTTATACGTAAATCCGGCCCTGATTAAATGCATTCATGTGTTTAAAATTTAAAATTAAGCAGTTAAGTGAAGTGATTTTAAAATTTTCCAGATTAATTCACTAATGCTTCAATCACTATTAAATAGACAATAAAATAAAATAATTATTACAAAGTTTTTTATCTTTTTCTTGAAAATATTTTAGGCAAATGGGTATTAATTACTATTAAATTAAAACGGGAATATTGTGATTTGCCTATTTTTTCTAATGCATGAGCAATGTTTACGTAATATACTACTGTCCCGTAATCAGAAAAATACCATTTAAATTTGTTAAAGTAATTGATTTTGAATGGGAAAATCTTAATTCATAATAAATATTTAAATTCAGGGAAACACATATTTTTAAAATAAGCAAAGGAACAAAAAAAGAAAAAAAAAATCAGTTCCGAGCCGAGATTGTAAAATCTGAACTTTGAAAGCTGGCTTTACCTCTATTGATTTATTTTCAATTTTAATAGCCGGGAAGTTAAAGATTTGAGATTTAAATAATTAAAAAAGAGCAGCTTTTATCTATCGATTTATCTTTATCTCTTACTATTCTTCATGAAACTTATATACTAATTTTATATAATAATATCAGAAGATTACTTTTAGCATGGTGGCATTGATTCTTTACGAAAGAACGGCCATATTGAGAAGTTTTCGAATGCGCTGTGGATTTTACAAACTGTCACAAAGGACTGAATGAAAGTGAAAGAATTTCTCATGTAGCAGATAATTCCTCTCTCTGTGATCCACTGTACTCTATTGTGTGAGCCTGTTATTAACTGCTATGACTTTTCAATTAGTTTAATTGCATTAAACTACCGGAAAACGTTTACTACAGCGCACGGTTATCACCAATAGAACACCTGCAAAACGCCCAGATCGCAGTGTCATAACTAGTATTTGTCAGAACTTCGGCTCTCAATTAATAATTGCTCGTAGTGTCGGCAACTTAGATTTGTGAACAATCTCCCATATATTTTGCCACTACTTGCTGTGAATACAGTTTGACTTATTTGTTTATTTTTGATCCAATAATACAACTGACGTAGTAAAATTAGAAATGGTTACCACAAAGGATGACGAATATGATTATTTATTTAAAGGTAAGTCATCTTATTTATAATGTTATAAATGTCGAGATTTTTAGTTATTTTTATATAAAATTTCCTTTTTTCGAATGCGGAAAAAATGGGCGTTTTGGTAACAATTGACCTTGTATGAAATGATAGTGGTAATTTCGCCTAATAGGAAATTTTCCTTTTGTAAGTGATGGGGGAAATAATTTCTTTTGAGTTTCACATATTACACATTTAAAATATTTAGAAATTGCACGATTTAAAATAAAAGTGCATGTTTGACATTTTCTACATTGTCACACTACATGGCATTGTTTGTTATTATTTGGATTATCCGTTTTCCTGTCAAGTTGAGAAACTAATATTTAAAACTGTTACTGCCATAATAGTTAAATAATTATCTCTATTTAACTGACAAAAAATTTTCATTTTGCATATTTAAAATATACCTCATTTAACTACACATTAATTCATTGATTTCAAGAATGTTACCTACTGAAGTTAGATTCCCTTTCTAAGATTTTTTTTAAAGTCTTGTTATTATGAAAACTATTGAATCTTGTTTTAAATTTTTTTAGTCAAGTTGTCACTTGATTGTTCAAGTAAATTAACTGTATTAAGGTGTACTTTGAAGTTTAAATTAATTCTGCTGTTAAAAATCAGTTTTATAATAATGAACAGTTAGTTAATTAACAAAGTCAACAATTGTTTAAAACATTTTTTTTTTTCACAGACTGCATTTTTAGGGAAAGTCAGTAATGTATTGAGTTATGCCGGTGGGCATTCGATTTTGGGAGTTTTTCCAGAGATACCACAAATTATAAAAGACATTTGTCATAGAGCAATTTTTAAAAATTCGTTTTGTAGAATTTTAATAATATATAGGCTTGTGATAATTTCGTTTAAATCGAGAATGTCACTAGTGTGAAGATGTTAGGTATAATCCTGCTCAATTAATATCTTTAAGAGTCTGACCTATATTTAATTTCAGATGAATAGAGAAAATTTCTTATGACTCACAATAGATATGAAAATTTTAATTTAGTAGCCAGTGGCCGATATACTGAAATAACTTAGTAGTCAGTGGCCGGTAGGCTAAAATAACTTAGTTGCCAAATTTTCCTCAAACCTAATGAGTCAGTGGCTAATAGGTATTTTTGATTTAATAATAACTTTTTCAAACTTTTTTGCTTGAATTAAATTGTATAATTTTTAAAACTCATATGAGATTTAACAATGGCTATAAAAAGTTAATTCAACAATAAAAATTTTATAAATTTATGACAAGAAGGTCATCCCAGGAAATGTGAGTACAAAATGTAAAAAAGATAGTCTTTATTTTCTTAAACCAAAATTTATATTAGTTAGCAGTTAGGGTTTCAAATTAACTGCATTCCAAATTGTTTTTAAGAAATTTGTCTCTGTTAAGTGGCGATAGGGATATATTGCAAACATTGCTTTTCTGAATTGCATCTCAATGAGTTTGAAATCTTTTTTGCACTTGGTGATTATAGTTGGCTGGCACGATCGATCATGATTCGGAAATATCCCCAAATTTTGTAAAGATTAAATAAAGATAGAATAGTAGCTGTAAATAAAAAATTTAGAAATAAAGAAAATATTTAAATCATCAATATAAGTAAAAAAAAGTATTTAAGGGATGGAAAATGCAAGAAAGACTTTACAATAATTTTTAATTAAAAATTTTGCCTCAATTACCATCTGTTTCAATTTTTTGAAGGACAAATAATTGTTTGAAATCATGTTGAGCAGTTTTTTTCCTTATTAGAAATTTAACTATAATCCGTTTGACGAAAAATGATTGGTCAATGTAGACTCATAATGCCGTCAGCAAAAGATTTTGTTGAATTGACATCCACTCTTATTACAAATACTAAAAGATTCTTTTTAGATAAAGAACAAAGAATTGATGCATGCAAACCTTGAGACACTGTATTAAATGTACCAGGTATAAGAGAATATCATACGATATGAGGGGGGGGGGGAATGACCTTTAAATTTAATGCCAGTGATGAAGAATTAATTTATAATGATTATAAACATAATTTTGTAAGTTTGACTTGTCAACCATAACACTATGCTAGGTTTCCTTAAAAGGGTATCAGTATGTTGTCTCTTAAAAGGTAAAGTGAAAAAGAAAATGTTTCTAAGTGCATATCTTGTAGGAAATCTTATTCCTAGTTGTAATTGAAATTTATATTGGAAAGAATAATTTTAAGTAATTGTTTAAACATAAGCTCATATTACCCCATTCATTTTAAAAAGAGACATTTAAGAATGTTATATAAAAAAAATTTAAGTATTAAGGTGAAAGTAAGGAAATATAGAGAAATTTTTTTTATTTTCTTTCAATTTATCATTATCTTTATAACGTTACTTTTTTGTGTTCATTATAGGGTGACCCGGGGTAATTCACGATCACTCTGTTTCTAGAGTAAATAATGATCACCTAAGTTTTATTTGAAAAAAATTATTTTTTTTAAAATTTGAGACATGGACAAGAATGCTTGTACACTTTACTAAAGTATAACTACATTTACTTAATAATAGTTTTTTGTTTAATCTAACAAAATAAGTATATTTTAAACTGATTTCTGTATTTTCCTTTTCAAAGATAGGTTTCAAAATGTGCATATTTCTTAAAAGATCTCCCTCCTTCTCTTAATAATAAATATTTTGAGTTACTTTCTTTTTCTTTGATATGAAAATAGTGTAATCTTTTGTTTAATTGTTTCACATTTACTGTAAACATTATAATTGATTATGGGAAACTATATCAAATGTTGCCCCCTACAGATGGGGTAATTATTGATCACTGGGGTAATTCCTGATCATTGTCATTTCTTCTTATAAATAGTATATAAAATAGTTTATAAATACATTGGTTATAAATTATCA